ATGCAAGCATAAATACTTTTTACCTTTTAAGTAATGCATCAATCACATTTCTTCGAGCAGAGACAAATTTAATGTTTTACTAATAAGCTCATGCATCATTGTTGAAGTGGATTTAGATGATGAGTCAAGTTACTTTTGAATTAGCCTGAAAGCCACGAACGATTGGACATTTTGTGATTGAATTACAGAAAAAATTTCGAGGAGCCAGAAAAAACGTGATGCGGCCATGATGCCGAGGCACACCGAGGATTGACACTTTGTGTCTTCCAATCACAGCGTACGCCGCACCTCTCCGTTATAATTTCAAAGGTGGGGACCCATTGAGGTACGGAATCGCCGATCTCAAGAACTATGGCATTCTGCTAGGCTAGAACGGTTTCCTAGGATAGAGTTTGACACAAAAACGAAAATAACACGGTGTTTAGCGCACTGCGCTACGTCTTTCTGTTGCATTTTTGCATCTCCGTAATCAGGATAAGCCCCACCTTCTTCGTTGATGGGCCTGAATGGGGCGTCACCGAGGTGACCGGTTCCTTTCCCCAGCCTGTTTACTTTTCGTAAATAATGAAATGCCTGGCCGATGCATTTCGCATCTAACAGGAAAATTTTCTGCATTTTCACTCGCTGTCGGAAGTGAACGAGTGCGTTATTCATTGAACAATTCAATAAAACACACACAATGTTCGGAGCTAATGTTTACATACATCTCTTGGATGTTTTATAAGTAAATATAGGGATTTTCAATAAAATAATGAGTTTTTATATGTATTTACCACGATTTACGTATAGAAACTATATATTATTTTTACTGATTTCTCCGTAACTTTCCTTGGAGTTTTCATCGTCTTTCAATGCATTTCGGTAGGTTTTCTGCATGATTATTATTTTGCGCAGGCCTCATTTTGGAAATCCTCCAACATTTTTACTTCTTCCTTAGTTAAGTTATACTTATAGTCCATCTTTCACTGTTATTTACTTAGGAAGGAAGGTAAAACTAACTGTGCATTCGTATAATTTCACTCTTGCTTCTATAGTATGATTTCCATAATTTTGCTCTTCTGCCCATGATAACATATTTCCCTCATCATGAACCTACATTTTTCAGTTCGGACTCTTATCATATCGTTATAACCTCCTATATCATTAATTAAATCCCCTAGGCCTAGGTATGAATATTTGGTGCAATTTTTGATTACTTGGTTGCCTATTAATATCTCCTTCTCTATCCTTTCTTTGTTTGTGAATTTTATAACCATTGTATTTGTTTTGTTCATATTAAATTCTAATATTTTTGATTTAGCTAATCTGGAGAATGACTGAGCGATTTTTGTGACTGTTTTATAATCTCCAATTCCTACAATATCGTCAATATATAATCATTGTCATCTTCTAAAACTACAGACCATCCGCTGCCCGCTGTGGAGACGTGCGCCGAGCCTCAAATTTAGCGCACGTCTCCACTGCGAACAGCGCTTCATACTTGAACATCCCCGCGGTCGCGTGCGCATATCCCGCGGAACTGCGCGTCTCATCCGCGTGCAGCGCTTAGGATCAACAGCAAAGCTGTGCCACGCAATCTTGTATCATGTCTCTCTGGATTCAGTTTGAGCCTTTATGTATTAACCATTGTTGAACTATTTTTGCTTTATAGAAAAAATATTATCACAATGCCCAGATAAGCTGTCTGACACACTACAGTAATGATGGCAAATCGCTAAGATGAGATGGCAATGTCATCAAAGATGCACTACTTTTGCCACAAACATCCCAAAAATTATCAAAACAACTGATGGGGGTGAAAACAGTTGAGCATCTATTGATTAAGTCAACCTTGATTTCTGATCGAACCGAGTAAAAAACAAAATAAAATAACACAACTCCCATCTAAAGCAGAGGCGTAGCTAGGATTTTTTCAGCAGGGGGAGGGGGCACTGGGGGCCTTACATTTTCGTGGGGGGGAGGGGCACAATATATAACTTTTTTGTTGTATTATACTGTTCTAACGGCATTGTTTTTAATTCAATTTTTTTTTATCAAGAATGAATTTTCAGTGGGGGGGCACCTGGGGGGGGCACAGAAAATTGGTGGGGGGCACGTGCCCCCCCCCAGGCCCCCCCGTAGCTACGCTCCTGATCTAAAGAAGGTCTAGCATAATTATTACAACTTAATACTTTTTACAGGGATTCACTTATATAAGTTGCAATTGATAATGACGGTGAAATTAAGAGCATCAATTAATGCAGAACCTCTTTTGGGTTGCTTTGCTTTTATATTTGTTTATGACACATAAAATGCCATCCAAATAAAATTATAATCTGCCGTACAATCAATTAATTCACCGCCTGCAATGGCTTTGAAGTTCACAAAAAGTTTACTTGCACTTCCCTTCCCATCCATCTATTCCGCCTCCTCCTACCCATACCTCTCCTCATATTCTCCCTCTCCCCAATGACTTCACCCTAGCTTTCCCATATCCCCCTTACCTCCTCTGTCATTGTATATGATCAATATCAATATTAATTAAATATACATCAATATATACTTGTCAAAGTTATGAAGTAAAACAGCCTCATAAAGGAAAAGTCTCAAAAAAGGGGAAGACTCATCATTGTCACACATTAATTCACTGATTATTTGTAAAGTATAAGAATCTAATTACAATGTAATACAAATTATAAGCATGTGCTACAACCCAGTACACAATTTTTGTCATCACTTCACGATTGTACATGTGGATGCATGGGAAACAAATGGAAACTGTATGTGAATTGAGATGGTCATGGTACGTACATGTCAGTTTGTGAACAAAGTGGTCACCAGCTTTGGAAAGGACAGTCAGTCAAAGTAAGAAGTAAAATTGTAGAGACGTGGTTGTCAGAGTTTGAGGTTGAGATAAGAAAGGTTGTTATGTCCAGTCCAAAATTCCGTACAAAGTGGCCCAATAATGAAGAGACATACCAGGGTAGCAACTAAAGGCTGTGACAATGTGACATGACAGAGGATCGGTATTCGTATTCCTCCAAGGTGCACTGGGAGCATATCAGCCAGTGACAGAATGTGTAGGAGGGAGGGTGGGAACCGAGAAAGCAAGGAGACATGCTGAGAGCAGATAGAAGAATAAGATGGGTGTGCAGGCAATGGGACACACTGCTGGCAGCATTCACATGAGAGGGATTGAGGAGAAAAATTAAGGCACACAACACCTAAGAGTTGAGATGGGAGCCAGCAGGTCCACAGAGATATGGCTGCTCCTACATAATTGTATATGAATAACATACACCTAATAATGTCACACGATCATGTTATATGATAGAATGTATTTAAAAAATGTGGAATGGTCATCCGTTAAAGTCCGTGTTATTTGGGGTAATCATGTGTGGTTGACAGTGAACATGCATGTTGCTGGGAAGGGGGGGGGGGCACTCACCCCCACATTATGGTAGATATGTGCTACTGCGAAGTCAAAAATGGGGCGCTCTGGCACGAACTCAGACCTGAAAATGGGGGTCTCTGGAACTAATGTTTGTTGAATATGGGATGCTCTGGAACTGGCTATGTTCGAAAATGGGGGTCGAAAACAAAAACAGCAGCAGCAGCTGACCATCCATCCATCCATATGTGCATGCGTTGCATGCATGCCTTCACGGCCCAGCTTCAACGTATTCTGAAGTACGATGCACTGGAACGGAAATGTTAAAAACTATGGTCTCCGGAACGGCAAAAATAACGGAAAATATGGGTCTCTCCTGCGGCACATACCTACCATGCAATATATATGGAGTGCTCCCCCCCACGGGGTATGTTGTCAGGATTGTTATATGGGTGCACGGCGTGAAGGGTGCTGCATTAATGAATATATAGCTCCGACGTTTCGTAATATATACCCAGGTTGCTAGGTTGCTCATCTAGATCACAGGTACTTGGAACGTCTCAATAAAAATAAAAAAAGTAAATAAACACGAAATGTATTTACACCGCACGCTAGCTGCTGCACACTGACACATAAATATATATATTATTTTTATAATTTATAAATAAATATATATTTATGTGTCAGTGTGCAGCAGCTAGCGTGCGGCGGCCAGCGTGTTTGCAGAGGAGCATTTGGACGGCATTTACAGGAAATTGTCGGCAATAATAGGTCAAGGAGAGTAGAGAAACATTAAGACTTTGGTAGTAAATAGATTTCGTATTTATTTATATTTTATTGAAACGCTCCAAGTGCCTGTCATCTAGATGATTGATGAGGTGAGTCATCAATCATCAAGCCGCAAAACGCACAACTTGTATTTGTAACGCCCTGGTATGCTAAAAATAACAACAACTACAAGACTGGGGTGTCTCTTAGCCTTTGAATTTTTTTCTCAATGTACCGGTATTTGCTTACCTGATGCGGGCACGTCTTGCAGCAAGTCTTGTACAATGCTTCGAAAGAAAATATTTTAATGATAAAAGAAATTAGCGTTGATGTTGACGTCGTAACAAATGAGCATCACTATATCACCATCAGTTGATAGATGGGTATAGACCATAGACTGATAGACGGGTTACAAGTCTTTTTAATACGGTATCTTTCACAGCCGTGAGGAATTAAGGTGTCCGACTGTGGGCGGTTCAATTTATAGAAGATTGCTGATTTTTGCGAGTTTGCAAGATGCCCGGTTAATTTTCTTACGTACATGCGTATCGTACGTGTCCAATTCTAATATAATTTTGAGGTGATCGAGCTCCTCAGCTGTGCGACAACATGTAAACGTCGAAGGCAGGGCAACTCAAGCGTTGAATCGTCTAGTAGTAGTAGGCGTGTAATGCGTCCTAAATTTGTGTGCCGTCGACTGACATGATGGCGATGGTCCCAAGAGCATTGTTTACATCGTTTATGTTGCTAGTCTTTTTGATTCTACTGGCTCTGCGGCTGGATGAAAAAACCAACTGGAACTGGTTTATCGTGTTCATCCCCATGTGGATTTTTGACTGCTTTATACTTATATACATTGTGTTTGAAATGATAGCGCACTGCAAAAATGGAATCTTTAGAAATGAACCCAGTATGGTGCGCAAATCAGGATATCTTGCCTGCGTTTTTTTGAAGCTAGTTTTCCAAGTATTGCTGTGTGGGCGGCTAGAGTATTTTAAACAACTATCATATTTTTACGTAGCCATCCCTTTCTGGCTTGTAATGTCCATTGCAATCGTAGATCTGATTGTGTCATTGCATCACCTAGCGAGAGCTTGATTCTGATTCGGGAGGAAACAAGATAGAATATTCGCCAAATTTGTTTGTCAGTTATAAACAGAACATTTAGAAAACAAGGAGTTACAAACGAGACAAGTGACAATCAGAAAGGCGATTTGATAAAATGAAGTTGTCCGCCTATAGTGAAATCATCAGTGCAGCTGAGAAGCAAAACTATAACAGAAACTGTGTGCAGTACCTTTCTGGAATCTACCCATCTATATCCAATGAGACTTTATACAGCATTGTGTCTCAGGCATACCAGCGATATACAAAGAAGTCCTATCCACAACATCATTCCTCGGCAGCAGTTGAAGCGTACTACAATGCCTACAGTGAGGCAGCAGGAACTGAACCGCCAGGTTTGCCAATGTTAGCCGTTTTACACCAAGCTGGGATTTTTGGCAGGTCTCACTTTGGCTGATAGGGTCTATGTCCCCCAGGGTACTATCGGAGGGTACCCTGGGTACGGTTCGATATATCGGAAATTACCTAGGGGGTACTATACGATATGTCGCTGCGTACCCTGCATTGTCCCACCGTACCCTGATTTTCAGCCAACTGATGTCGTAATACACTCTGTCAAGTTACTACATCACATAGAAGAAACCTCAAAACATTGCAATCCAATAAAAATGTTTATGCTATGTTTGACTATATTTTTTCTTTTTCCTTTTGCATATATTCATATTTTCATTTTCATATTCATTTTCATATATTTCAAATATTCATGATGTGAGAGAAATCTTTCCAAATGTACACCACCAACGGGCACAACAGTGCTATCACCCTGCATGTTGCATAATTACACGGTGATACATACAATTTCCAGAAGAAGTGCGAATACTGAAACGAATATTTTGCGGAAACGGACCGGAAACAAGGAACAGGAGCATAAAGTCAGGATACAGTGGGACAATGCAGGGTACGCAGCGAAATATCGTATAGTACCCCGAGGTACTTTCCGATATATCGAACCGTACCCAGGTTACCCTTCGATAGTACCCTGGGGGACATAGACCCTATCAGCCTCACTTTGGCACACATATAACTCCTGTGATTATCTACCTGTCAATAAATCTAAAAACAACATTAACAAGCATGGTATTGGTTTCCATGTTATTTGGAGAAAAATTCTTATACCAAAGGTTGTGAAATCACACTTAAACTGGATATATATATATATATATATTATAATAATTGAATACATGTTAAGATTCAATGTGCCTGCTTATTGCTAACGTGATAATATATGAAATTGTTTGCAGGTTTTCTTATAACACAGGCAGACAAGTTAAACGTGTCACCTGTTGTGCTGGCTCGGATCATCCTTGAGAAACACTGCACAGATGCTGATGGAAAGCCTCCGTCTCGCAGTATGCTATCACAGATGATGAAGGACACCGCAACCATAGATGATCCTGTAAGCTATGCTCATCCTGATGCTTTCTGCCAAAGGCCCCAGAGGTCGAGCTGTTAGTCGTTTGGGCCCCAATTAAAAAAATCTTTGTTTGCTCTCACCCGACCCAGGCTGAAAAGTTTGGATAGGTAGGTAGGCATTTTTTTGAAGGGGTCTTTTTACAAATTCAGCATGCTCTGGCATGTGTATACGTGCTCGGGTGTGATTGTGTGGTCTGGAGATATCTTTTATGCTGAATGTTTCTTTTGCTTGGTACATATAATGTATTGCCTACAGGATTTATATAATGTACAGTGAAACAAAATTTTATACAATTTGTAAAAAGAAAACGAAAAAAAGACCAATAAAATTTTTTGAGTCGGCCCCATTTTGGCGGGTCGGTCGGGTGAGGGCAAACAAACAATATTTTTATTATGGCCTTGTGTGCTGTAGGAATAGGCCTATGGGTGGTTTCATGGTATTTTGTTAGAAGACAAACACTAGCTTATAGGGCATGTTCCTGTTGTAATAGTAATACATCTGCTAGCTATTGCAAAAAAGAATGATGAAATGTTGACAAGTTTTATTGCCAAAGTCACACATATGGTTTGAAATAAACTTTTTTGCCAGGCAGTAAGTACTTGCTGCAGAGAAAAAACAGGCAGTGAACTTACTTGCCCAAGCAGAAAGATGAGAAAACCATAGAAGTACCACTTTCTCCCAACCCAACAGTACTGTCCTATTGCCTCCGTCTATAAGGATGCTGGGTTGGCCTCCCACCCCATGTTTTCCCTGATTTGATCATTCTGAATATAGGTAAAACTATAGAGTAATAAAGTTTGGGGTGCTTGCCATCATGTTTTGTTCAATCATGGTTTCAGAATAATTTTCCTGGATAATTCTTATCCCTGATCATGTTTCATCATTGCAGATACTTGCAGACGAAGTCCAACTTTGTGTATTGGAGGATGCTCATTATGGTCCTGTAGTTGATAGCATCAGGAGGTCTATAGGATATGAGTATGAGTATAAGCTACAAGAAATACTTACGGTATGTACCATATCGTAATAGATAGACATCCACTAGTGTATTTGGACATCCTTTGAGCAACCTGCTGCAAATTTTACTATCTCTATGATGATGAGAAAAGCAGATAAAAACAACATATATACAGGGATGAGAATCTTCGTGGATTTCACAGTCCCAGGGTCGATTTTGTGACACGTCTAAATCCGTTGAGAGAAAATTTTAGGGGGGGTTAGAATGTACAAATTTTCAGTTTACAGTCCAACAGTACCTTCATTTAATAACATTGTAATATAGTTTTCTTTACAATATAGACACGGCTTAGTTCACTGTTTGAGATTGTCAGACGTTGGCCAGTGTGTGCGTTTATTTGACGCTGTAACTGTGTGTGTATGTGTGGCGCCGCGCGTCGCGGGCGGATGCAGCACGCCGGCGGCCAGCACCGCGTCCCTCGCGGCCTGCACGCCGCGCCACACCTTCTCGCGCGCCTCGTAGCCGGCAGCCCGCCTCCTCGCATCCAGCACCTGCGCACGCTCTTCTCGAGCGGCTCGGCGGCGCCCCTGCCGCTGTCGTGCGCAGTCGCAGGGGGTCGTCGAGGCGGCCAGCGACGCGGCGATTGCTGCGGGCGTGCGGTCGCGCTCGTTGTTGCCGACGACAACGAGCGAGATGGCCGGCGCGACGCGCAGACAGTGAGCGACGGCGGGCGTGCACGCCGCCGCGCCGCCGGACAGGTAGACGCCGACGCACTGGTAGTCGTCCTCGGAGACGCTCAGCCGCGGCTCTGCGTCGTCGAGCGGCCGCCGCTGCGCGAGAACTCGGCGTCGAGGTCCGACCACGTGTGCGAGTAATTGAGCGAGAGGTCGGCGTTCGGCACGAACATCGCGTCGAGCTCAAGCCGCGACGCGGCGGGGACGCGCGGACGGCGGCGACGTGGCGGGACGCGCGCGCGCGCGCGACGCGCCGGCGTGTAGAAGCGCTCGCCGCCGCTGTCTGAGAGGCTGCTGCAGCCGCTGCCGTGCCGACGCTCACACCGCAAGCAGCTCTGCAGCAGCGCGACGAGCATCAGCATGTCGGACGCGTGCAGGCCCGCGGCCGCGCCGCACGAGTACTGCGCGAGCAGCTTGGTGTCGACGACAAGCAGCGCGTGGTGCGCGCTCGCGTCCACGCTCGAGCGCAGCTTGCCGAGCGCGGTCTCGGCGAGCCGCACCGTGCGCGCGCTCAGCGCCTGCTTCGAGCGCAGCCCGCTCGACGGCGTCCGCCATGAACGCCTGCTCGTGCCGCTGCAGGTCGACGCAGGTCGCGAGCAGCGAGGCGACGAAGCTCCAGCGCGCTGCCGCCGCTCGATCGTGCGCTCGGCTTGACGATGGCGCCGCGGCGTGGCCGTAGAGGAAGAGCAGTATGTGGTGGAGCGTAGAAGCTTGCGCGCGAGGAACGCGTCCGTCTCGTCGCCGTCGCCGTTCGCGGCCATGTACAGCTGCCCGGAGAACTGCCGGAACGTGAAGAGGAAGTTGTTCTCCGTGCGCAGGCACATGTACGGCTGCTGCAGCTGCTGCTGCATGACGGCGTGCCGT